AGTGGCAGTGGGTTGACGTCGGACAGCTCTCTGAGGTCGACGAACGAAGCCCTCGCTGGCCACCAGGGCGCGACTAAAGTCAGATCGAGGTTCCGTGTCGATCTAATCTTCTGGACGACTTTGGGAAGGAGTACAGGTGGCGGATAAGCGTACGCCTTTATTCCTTCCCAGGGGACGTTGAAGCGTCGACTGCCCAAGCCAGTGGCTCCGGCACAGGAGATATCTAGGTCGGGATCTGGTAGTTCTGGCTTGTGGCAAATAGGTCTATGTTGGGGAGACAGACCGTGGTCTCAACAAGAGCGAAAGCCCCAACTGGTGTAGGAGCCAAAGGGTGAAGTCCCTGTGGTGGAGTACAGTGACCGGGTCCAGATGGTCCAGGAGGCAGTCGTCTATGTACACTTCGAACTGGATGTCCTGATGATGGAGGTACGAGGCTATTGGCTTGGTAAGCTGTCTGAATAGCCAAGGGGACGAAGAAATTCCAAATGGTAGGACAGCCCATTGAAAATTTACTCCCATGAAGATGAAGCGGAGGAATTTCCGGTCGTCGGGATGAATAGGGACATGTAGGTAGGCATCCTCGATATCCAGGCTGATGAGCGCCTCCTGTGCCTGGATCTGGGATCGCAGTAGCCTGAACGTGGTCATCCCAAAATAAGGTGGACGCGCCAGGTAGCGTTTGTTGAAAGCAGCGAGGTTGTGGATCATCCTGTGTTTGTCCGAGTCCTTCTTGGGGACCAGGAAGACAGGTGAATAGAAGCCCGATGTTATGGCTGGGGCGTGTACCACCTCTAAGACTATCTTGTCTAGCAGCACCCTGATGCTTCAGCTCAGTAGCTGCTGTTGGGTATGTGTCCACTATGGATGACGACGTCAGTGGCGGGTCGTCTATAAGCGTCAGCTTGTACCTGTGTCGGATGATGTTGGTGACGTATGGGTCCCCCAGGATCTCCCAATTCTGCCAGAAGTGAGTCAGTCTCCCACCTACTGGGGTGTTGACAACTTGGGCGCTAGGGATGGGAGGTCCCAATCGTGCCTGTCCGGTGGTTCACTGGGGTAGCCGTGACAGGACTGGTATGTGCCTGAGGACTTTCCTTTCCCCTTGCCTTGAGAGGTTGAGGTGGAGCCCAGCCCGAGAGTCCAGCCCAACTGGGACGCCTTAGCAAAGGCTGGCTGTGACACCCTGGCCAGGGCCTTGAGAGCCGTCTCATCACGGGCGAAGGCTGAGATATCTGTCCATTAAAAAGGTCAGAGCCGGACCAACATTGATGCAAAAGGTCTCTCTTGAACTCTGGGTCCCAACTGGACAAGGCAAGGTACCAAGGCGTCTAGTGGTAGTGAGTTCGATCAGAGCAGCGCGAATGTGGGAACATCTCTGTTCCACTTGACGTTGGAGGTTGGATACCACGGTAGTTTGATGGTCAATCCTATGGGGGTTGTCCTCGGATAAGTCCTGCAGTATAGCCCTGGAGGACGAGGCCATCAGTGAGAGAGGTTAGTGTGTGTCGAATCTCGGTCTCCACGAAGGCGAGTTTGCTTTCGAAGAATCGGACTGAGGTGGAGCGGTTCCATCCTGTCATGCAATGCATGTCCTCATCTAAGGAGTGAGCGTGGTCCGCAACTTGAAGGGAGTGGACTAGAAGTCATCTCGTCTATAACGTGAGGCCCTGAAGGACGGAGTCAGTGACAGCTTACTGAAGTCCTCATCCAAAGCTGAGATCATGTCTCTGATCAGTGTGTCAGAAGGGATCGAGGTGGGGTCCGTACGGATGGCCGTCTTGCTATCGACCTCTAGGTCAGGCAGGGGAGCGATAGCCTCCAATCTGTCTGCCAGCCAGTCTGCAACTTGGTCAGAGCCCAGGTGGGATTCGCTGTCCATAGGGGTGTCGTCATAGCAAGGGATCAAGGTGCCCTCCGAGGAGTCGGATTTGTAAGGTCAGCCGACGCGGCGGAGGCAAAGGCGCAGGCGTCTGTAAGGGCGCTGTGCAGATAGGCGCCATCTGAAGGGACGCTTGAGGAGGCGTCTGCAGAGGCGCTATGGGAGCCGCTTGTGGAGGCGTCTGTAAAGGCGCTGGCGTCGATGGCTGTCTGGCCTGTAAGTACTGAATGTACTGGAGGAGGGAGGTGTCTATCGTGGGCGTCTGTGCCGTAGGCGCCTGTGGGAGACCGAGCGTCTGTCCGGACAGTATAGGCGCCGTCTGGTACGTGAGCGCCACGCCGGGCGTCAAGATGGTCGCCGCCATAAAGATAGACGCTGTCGTGGTTGTCAAAGTGCTCTGGGTAGAGACTACAACCGTGGGGTCGGACATCAAGGTAGCAGTTGAGGTTGGGGGGTGGTCATCCGAGATGGCCGATCTGGAAGGGGAAACCTCAGTTTGGTCTGACATCGTGCGCTGGTGTTTCCTGGCCTGCTGTGTTCTGCTGTGTTCTGCGTTTTTCACACATGAAGGACTGTCTGAAAGCTGTTACAACGGTGACCCTGGAGGCATTGAGATGTACAATTAAGGCACAGGGGGTAGGGATCCCACGCCAACATATTACGCCGGCACTTTGAGCAGGAGGGCATGATATCTGTAACGAAGCAGTGTAAAATCACAATGCATCCCCACCCGATTATGTATGCTATCATTTGTTTATCCCACTGTGTGGGTTTATGAAACAAATATTACGACAAACATAAGACAACATACAACAAAAAAAACAACGTGGGGTACCAAGTAAAAGAATATAGAACGCAAACCAGTTCACTAACTGCTGGCTATGCAAAAATATTCAAGATGGCTACTTGGAGCAACAAGACACCTGGCCTTATGTTTTCTTTTGAGAAAACGCCAATAAGTGTCTAATAACATTATGCGCATGTTTATCAAACACAGAATGTACAAAATACAAACCATAGGCACAACACAAAGACAAAAATCATTAACTCAGATAGCACGTGAGGGTATGAATCAGTTTATGTTACAGCAAAAAACAGGTCTTCTCTAATCAAGTGACAAGAGTAATGTGAGGATCTGTGACGTCACTTCCTTTGGTCACGTGGGAGCTGCGTGATAGGTTTGGCCTCCCAGCTAGTTGGAGCAACTTCTTCAAGCAAAGACCCTCAAACAGCTCTTTTCTCTGTCAAGAACAAGCAGTGATATGCATTAAGGAGTAATGCAGGATAAGTAAAATTCCCCTCTTGTAGTAGCAGTGATGGGGTATAAATCTGGCCCCATCATGGGTGTAACGGTCTCATGCTATTTCCCCCCTTACCTATACTACTGTAGTTGATTACAATTTTCCTTAGTTTTATACTTTTATGTCCATGACGATTGGTGATGAAATGAATTTGGTGCTAAAATTTCTTGTTTTATATTCAATACTTGGTATGTTCCGCTATAGTTGACAACAATGAGATTGTTAATGAGACCAGCAGAGTATATAACATGCTAACACATAAAGCAGTAGCTATAACACCGGTACTTTAACATTCATCTCATTTGCAACATTCATCAGATAGGTTTAGTGCAACATTTACAGTGTCCATTATGGTAAAATATACACATGCACAAAAGTTAAGCGCCACCATATTCATAGTCTCTTGATTTCACGTGTGGGAATCAGAAATACGAAATATGATGATGTATGACTGAATTAGGCTTCCATAGTTTTATGAACCCAAATTTGTCCAGATACCACAAGGAAAGCGTGCTTTAAGTGTTGCTGCAGTTTCCCTACCCTATAAAAGTGAAATTCAAGTTTCAAACATGTGGTTGCATTTTGCTCCTGTGTGAGATTCCCCTTCCAATAGAGGTCGAAAATCAGCCATGGTGAGGAGAAAGATAACGAACGCTGAAAGATGGCAAGTGATAGGCATGAAAAATGCTGGCATGTCATGCAGGGCCATTGCAAGACAAATGGGTCGTCATCACAGTGTTTTCACTTGTTTGATTGTCAAACATGGTCAAACCAATGATGTCAATGACAGGCATAGGTCTGGTAGGCCAAGAAAGACCTCTAATAGAGAGGATAGACGTCTTTTCAGGATAGTCAGACGAAATCAATTTGCCACTTCAACAGATTTAAGACTGCAGTGGATTACCCATCAGAGACTCTCCACAATGACCATAAGGCGTCGCCTCGGAGCGGCTGGTTATAACGCCAGAAGACCAGTGAAACATCCTCAACTAACTGAGAGGCACATGCGGAATCGTCTGATATGGTGTTGTGCCCGTAGTCGATGGAACTTGGCCAACTGGAGAAGGATCCATTGGTCTGACGAGTGTCGAATGCTGCTACGAACTGTTGATGGTTTGGAGGCAACGTAACACACGTTTTGCACCAAGGAACATCCAGAAGACCTTAGCATGTGGCGGGGGGTCTGTCATGATATGGGGTTGTGTTTCCTTCGGCTGAAAACTTCCACTGGTGACAATTCGTGGAAACCTGAATGGCCAACAATACCATGATGCCGTTCTTCGTCCAGTGGTAGTCCCTCATTTTGACAACAATCCTCTTCAGACAAGACCTGTTTACATGGACGACAATGCTAGACCACACAGATCTCGGGCAGTTTTGGCTTATTTGCGTCAAGAAGCTATGAGGCGTAGGGTTGAAGCTGTGGTCAATGTCCGTGGATCATACACACGTTACTGACATTTCTGTCTTGCAATAGACTCTGCACTCCCAAGGGTGTCACACTGACACCTGATATGGTCTGCTGATATCATGATAGTAACATGATAAAAAACAAATTTCAATGTTTTCTAATCCTTCAATTTCTGGTCTTCGGTAAAATTCCATTCTGCTCATATTCGTTTGGGACACAAGATAAACTTGCTTTGGGACAACTTTTGCATCACATGAGGTTTACATATACAGCTTATAACAATCGTACATCTCGTTATAATAGTCATCATTAAGTGCCAAAAGTAACAGCTCTCCAATACGGTGGGTTTCGCTTAACTTTTGTGCATGTGTATATTTGAACAACTAGGACAAAACAAGACATTTCTTACCCTGCTGAGACTGGCAACAGTAAATAGTTTCTTTAACTTCAAAGTCTTTCAAAAACTCCTCTATATCCTGAAAATATAAAACACACACTGTATACAGTATGTTTATCACATGGAAACAGTCATTCATACCATAAGGCACAAAGTATACATGTGAAACATTTGTGGGAGACTGACTCACTTCTGGCAGAATTGGGAGATCCTGGGGGACCCATACGTCACCAACATCATCCGACACAGGTACAAGCTGACGCTTATAGACGACCCGCCACTGACGTCGTCATCCATAGTGGACACATACCCCTAACCCACGTTGAGACGCCCAACGCGAACTCTGTATTCGTGCGTGCGTGATTCCCATGCACCTTTTCGACTTGAGTTGATTGGTTCAACTGTGTCCTATGGCCCTGTGACGCAGGGGTAGCATTATGCAGATGGCTGTTTCAATGAATGCTCATTCCACCCATGACGAACAGGTCTGGTTGTTGATGAAATATAGTGATAGCTAAATAGACAGATTTTTTATTCATGCACCGATTGTCTTTAAATGTAATATCCAGTCATGTATGACTGCTTAATAATCTCATACCAACTTTGACTGGAGAAGGTCCGATAGTTTTTTGGATATTGTAGTAAACGTCTGTACCTTAAATTACCTTCCAGACTATAGATACTTAATAACAGCATGGTGGCCAATGTTGTCCATTTTTTATTAACAGAAAATACCTAGTCACTTTCAAACCTGCAGAAACGGAACGTATTGTACTCTATAAGTTAATAAATTAAGAGTGTATTATACATTCATCGCTGTCTGGCTAATAACTTTTCTGCCACCCTTGTATATAAAAAATGGGCATCAAAGCTCTGAAGCTCACCTGACTAATAAAGTTTTAATCTGGTGACACTTAAAGATTAATTTGGAACAAATATCTACAGTGAGTAGAAGGAAAAATAATACTCTGGGACAAAGAAAAATATATGTGTTTGCAACAGTGTTTAAGACAACGGTGTTGAATGAAAATAGTGATGCCATAAACTGAAATGGCTCCTCTTGTTTTTTATATCAAATGTTCCGCTTGAACCATCATTATTCCGATTTAACTGCCCAGAGACCTACACTTCGTACCTACTGTCAGCCTTGCTGATTGTACGTGCCTCTAAATCACACAATAAATACACTTTCAGGTTTGATTGATGTTTATTTATGTCAGTTTCTGACATGGAGAAGGTTTGGGAAGGAATATATCTACATAAACAGTTTAAAAACATCTATTATCCATAAACATTATAAAGTTCAAAGAAGTTATAAAAGACATTTGCTAACTCGACAAACATCAAAGCTTCTATTATTTTATCTTATTCAAAGTCCAATGGGTTGCAAAAAAGATTGGCTGTTAGAATCATTAAATCTAACTCAAATTGTAGACTGCTTGTTACATACAAATGACATTTCCATTCTTGTAAGAAATTACATTCATGAGTTCAGAGTGTCAAACAAATACTCTTACACGTTTGGATTAATACTTTTTCAGGGATTTATCTAGATCTGCTCAAAGGCCGATATCCAGCCTCAAGTCTGAAGTATAAAATATGTCAACAAAAATTCCAAAATTGGAATGAAAATTTGCCAAGTTATGTTATCATGGGAATAACTAATGTTATTTCTTTGCAGAGATGGCTTGCATTGCACTGAAAACCGGACCTTCAAGCAAGAGGTTGTAATGTTTAGCTTTACATTAAATACTAACATAGAGCACTTAGGGTGGGGAAACTATATTATCGAGGCATCGCTATTTTGTGGTTTGCTATTTTGTGGTTTGATATGTGTGGAATATTTGCTTTACATCACTTCCTGTTTTGAATTAAGCACAATTATTATACTTTTCTAACAAATTACTAATGGAGATAGGGGTACTGCCAATTTAAACATTAATGAACAAGTAAGCATGGTACGCTATATTATCGCTGTAGTGAATTAATAATGGATCATAATGACGAATACTTACTATAATATGTGCCTTACGAAAAATGTTTCTGTCCTTTGTTCAACTTTTATGACACATCAATTAGGTTTAATTGATGCTGATTCTTTACTGAATTCGGTAAACAAAGTACCTGTCATTAGCGACTCAAGGACGGGCAACTCAATATTATGGTGGCATGGCTATTTTGTGGTTCGATTAGTGTGGATTGTGAGGTTTACATAACTTCCTGTCTTGGATTATGCATAATCAGTATGCATTCGACCTGGGTTCGGTCAAGGGACATTGTCCAAACAAATGGATTCTTTTCTAAACGATTTCGAAAGGAGGTTGAAGTAACTCCACTTCAAAGACATTCCAGAAACTATTATAAAAAGGTAACGTGTATACTTACGAGTAGCCGTGACATAACGAAATGAGTCCTGTATTTGATAATGCAATGAAATATGTGCTTAGTTTTGCATAAGTAAACAAGCGACTGGGGTTGTGTATTACAAGATTTACCGAGTCTGCGATGATATGGAGTCATACCATAATGTTTACTCATGAGGTGATGAGTCGTCGTGACATTCCACAACGAGTCCTGTATTCGATCAAGCAATGAAATATCGTGCTTAGGTTTCCATAATAAACAGCCGTCAGTAGGTACTGTTGATAACGCTTTAACAAGAGCCAGCGACATCATGATATTAATTTATAGAGTCAGACTATAAACGGTAATGTTTATAATCTTACATAATGTGCCGCAACATACTGCTCTCGATATTTAAGTTTAGGTTTACCATTTCTTGTTAATATTTGAAAATAATATAACATCTAAATATTGAGTAGTTTGGCAACTGTCATTCACAAACCTGTGTACTTGTCTCAGTCGGCACGTTCTTAATCAAGATCTTTCTTTCCTTGTTGAATTCCGTTTGAGCATATTTGAAAAGACCTCGTAAGTTGTCATTATGTTCTGGTTGTTGAACAGCTGCATCTGGTTCATCAGCCGTTGTGCAAGACATTACCCCGCCTGTCTGAGGGATATTTGTATTGCACATCTGAGCAGAACCACCATTATCTTGGGACGCATTGCTTTCTCCCAAGGTGGCAGCCATTTTGAACGTGCGGAAGTTCCCGGCATGCGTGCGGTTTTTTCCGGAAGTAAATTATTCAACCTAAATGAACCAACAGAGAAGAGTTGTCTCCGTGTTATGGGTTTTTGGACGCTAAAGAAACATTCGTTGTTTACTCTCATATCACATGAACAACTGTAAAACATATCATTCACTTTTAAAAGACAGCTACTCTTAAAAACAAGCCATCTGAGTGTTTACAATTTCTGTGTGATTCTACACGTCCCCCCACCCCCAGTTATCATGGCCGTCCGAAACCCTATCCGACGATATATCAGAAAGTAGATGTTTCGCAAAGTTTTCAACTCGTTTTTACTTCTTAAAGCGACAAGTTTTTATTGGTGTCTATCACCACATGTATAAGAAATATCTGTTCAGTTTGATCAAGTTGGGAATATTTAAACTTGAACATTGAATGCAGACGAATTTATAGTCACCTGATAGCTTCTTGACAACTATGTTCATGAGCATTTGGGGGAAACTGGACGATCCTCAAATTGTATGTTTTGGCTGACTCGTACTAAAAGGTTGTATAACCCCTACCCACCCGTACCTAGTCAACTGAATGACTCGCACTCAAAAATGCACATTCGTACACAATGGAATTTATTTGATTTTTAACATTATTCGCTATATCTTTGTTTACATTATATTTTTTATACAATAAATTTTGCAGATTATTAAAATGGTTTTAAAAATGAAAAAATAATTTACCTTTGAAAGGCATATGCATCGTTCTACATATCGCAAACTTGTTAAAGAGGAAATCGAACTGGATTTCACTTGTAAGGCATTTCAACTTCACCTCCCCCATCAACTACAGGAGCTACCGAAGCTCTTTGTTTACATTTTATTTTTTATACAATAAATTTTGCAGTTTATTAAAATAGTTTTAAAATGAAAAAATAATTTACTTTTTAAAGGCATATGCATCGTTCTACATATCGCAAACTTGTTAAAGAGGAAATCGAACTGGATTTCACTTGTAAGGCATTTCAACTTCACCTCCCCCATCAACTACAGGAACTACCGAAGCCGGTGTGTGTACTGTTTCTGTGGGACACATTACTGAATGTCAGTTTTTAGTCTAAGATTGGATAAGATTATGCAATCAACATAGTGAGTGAAATGGGAACTGGACAATCGGTATACCTACGGGATACCCAAACGTTTTTGGTTTTGGCGGTGTCGCATTCAAATGTTGGACACCCGATATCCACTGGTACCTAATGAACTGGACGACTCGTACTCAAAAACGCGAATCCAATGAATATATATATATATATATAAGTAATTTCATGCAGTCGCTTCTGAAAAGTATCTGCTCTACCGCAACATATTAACACCTGATTAACACCTCTTTTCAATTTAGATATTGTTTTGTGTTTCATGTGACAGCACATGAGTACTAAATCAACAATATGCCATGATGGCCAATTAAGTTAACTCAATTCATTTAATCCTAATGTTACTAGCATATTATTGAGGGAATGGGTGTTTAACATTCTGGTCGAAAGACCAGCGAAGAGAGATACCATTTGATTTCTAGCGGTTTGCCCGGGTCTTTTTTAGCCAACAGCCTTCATCAGATTGACAAAAAACAACTCAGCCTCAAAAAAAAGTCTCGACCATAATATGGCCATCCTCATCAATACAGAATATTTCGCAGAGCCATAATCTTTGACAGAGAGACATGACCATGAGAGACAGTATGCCTGTAACACTTATTTATATACTGAACCAAATTAAAAACTTCACAATCCTAAATGTTTTACATTTTGACCAGTTATCATTGTGGGCCCTTATTGTGTATTTAAACAGTAATGGCCAAGTATTGTCTTCAGATAGCGTCCGTTTTTGTGCAGGTGAATCGATCAAAATCATGTGCACAGCACTATAGTGGCAAAAGTGGTTATTGACGTGCAACTGGTCACGTGGCCATAATACCGTGTTTTAAGCCATACTTGTTAGCAGTCATTAACAAAAAAAGAAAAACACAAGAAAACAAAAGTCTTTGCGGCCATTTGTCATGCCATGCCTTTCAAATGTGCAACGTGAACGTGCCATCGGCATGTTGCAGACGGGAACGTCCGTAGCTGAAATGGCAAGGACGATGGGTTGTAGTCGACGGACTGTTTATGATTTACAGACGCGTCTACAGCAAATGGGTACCTACCCTGCCCTCGGCCAGGTCGACCACGTGTGACGTCACATGCAGTGGATCGTCAGATTGTCTTACGTCACCTCCGTAACCGATTTTTGACGGCTTCATCAACCAGAAATGATCTGTTTAGGGGTACACTGAGCGCGCAAACTGTTCGAAACCGTCTAAGAACTGCTCACCTTCAAGCACGCTTCAAACATTTTTTGCACCTGTCTGGAACATTCTTTCCTAATGGGTGCGTTTTACCTATAAAAAGGGAGTCTTATGGGTCTGGGGTCACCTGTTTCTGTTTTGTGATGATGTAAGTGAGTGTGTCCTAATTCTGACCTATTTCTGAGGCAACCACTGATCTTTGTGATTGGAGAAATGCCACCGCCTCACCAACGATGTCCATGATGAAGTATCGTCTGTCTTCCGTCAATCAGGTGCGCCTATAACGCACCTTCAGCCTGGTGACTGTCATTCGCTTCAGCCAAATCTCATTGAAAGTGGTCATGCGTTGCTTCTTGATGTACCATACCAATAGCTTGTTCTTACAGTACCTTTAATCTTAGCATGTTATTTGTCACTGTCCAACGGTTTGGATGTGAATGACCTGTACATCGTTCCTTAAATACATATCTTTGTTGGCTGGCATGCTGCAAGTGCTGCATAAGTTTCACTTCAAACTCAAGTTATTGATAAATTACTGTGCATTACTCAAAAACTGTTGTGGTTGTGTTTGGGCGATTGATTGTCAACCATTTTGAATTACTACTTGCGGTGTCCAACTTTCAGTTTGGTAACGTTTCTTTTTTTTCGTCAGTTTACAACGAAACTTATGCTACTAATGTCCATCATCCACAATCTCAGTAATTGAAAATTACGATCCTCCAGTAGATGCGTACAAACATGTCAAGTAAGTTTGTTTTTGCTACACATGGTGTAAAAAATGGTCTTTTATTCTTTATTTTATAAACATGCTTTATTATACTGCTATTTTCATTGTTCTGTTTCAAAATCACCTACATATGCTCAGTTATTATGTTTTAGAGAACAGTGATTAAATTTTAACATTATTTCCATAGGTTGAATTTGAAACGTGCTGTAAAATGAATCTCAGCTCTCGTGAGAAGAAAAAAAATCTCAGCCCCTAAAAATGAAAAAAGCCCCCTATGTTTGAAACATTCAGTTTGAAATGTAAAATGAATGAATGTTGTGCTATTAATATATTCCAATTAAAGAATATATGAGAATAAAGTGCTGAATAAATGATTAGAAACATATATTTTCATTGTCTTGTTTAAGGTCTGTAACGGTTAATACAATCCTGTTTCGGACATCATTACTTCAAAAAATAAATGGGTACGGCTCCTCCAAATTTGGGTACGAGTCTGCAAAATAAAGTACGAATGCTCCAAAACAGGTACGAATCTGACGAGAATTTTAAGTACGTCTTAGCCATTTTCGGTGGGTACGAATCTCCGTGAGTACTGATAGTCTGATATCTAGTGAAATGTGAATTGAATGTTTGAATTGTATAATGAATAATTATATATGGGGTTTACTGAATTGAAAATGCGCAAAATGTCGAATGTCGGACAGATCGGACGGGCATGTGAGGTACGGGCTAGCCATTTTCAGTGGGTGCGCATCTGCATGTGTACGGATCGTCTAGTATCTATGTTTGACATTTCTTCGCATGCATTAGTTAACCAATTTGAAACACGATACGGTTATACCACTTTGAGGTATAAATTAGATAAGAAAAAGGAAGATATGTTTTGATGTATGTAATATGAGAAAGAAAATATGTCGGGCCTTTCATGCAAGCGGTTATATATAGCTGTTATATTGAAGATGAGCGTTTCTTTTAATGTCAATTGTGAATTACCAGAGAGCACATACAGTCAATTCTGAAAGTAGAATAACTATACCGGACTAGATTTGACACAGTAATGGGTCATGTGTTTCTTAGAAGCGGTTCGTTTCAAGAAGCACAATCCCACATTTCGACTTTGTTAACCGTATAATTTCTTTGATTAAATTTGAAAAATTACTTCATTTTTCTAATGTAATATGATGAAGTATTGAAGATGGTCCGTTTGGGTTATAGCTTGCCCGACGCTGCGTCAAATCCCTACCAAGCGAAAACGGCACCAAATAGGCGGAAAAGGTACCCTGATCTTGTGAAAACTGCACCTTTTTACCAGGCGACAACGGCACCGCACCTTCACGCTTTGTTTATATACTTTGTAGTAATCATTATAAAACCTTAACTAAGTACATAGTCGGGTGCGCCTTTCTTTATAAACAATATATCTAAGGTATTGTGGACTATTTGACAGGCTACATTGTTGGGCCAATGATAAATTGTATCGCTTTTCAATTTTACCTTTCAGTATATAGAGATTATTTATTCGACCATGTGAAACAGGAGTTTCGTACTGAATCATTAGGACACGCATGCGAGAGTAATAATTTCTTTATACCCAATATAAAGGAATTGGCTATTGGAGAAATACCGGGTACTAAAGTTTCCTGAAACAAACAACATTTTACGTTATATATCTATCTACAGCAACACATTTGTGGTAGAATCATTACCTATGGATATATATTATGTTTCATGTTGACATTTTATTGTTTTAAAGTGTGTCATAACAGTGTGAATATATTATAATATTGTAGTCATGTACATGATGTGATGTTAGACTGTAAATGTTTGTTTCCCTCGCGGTTGACCTACTTTTGTGCTTACAGAGAGAGAAATTCAGACAAGTGCTAAACTGGTGTCTTCGATATTCACCATATGTTTTATTTTTTAGATTTATTTATGCATTTAGGGTTTTAGGCACTGCGAGGCACTGCGAGGGTTATTAACCTACTGAAAAGTACAGTGTATTCCAAAATGAAAAGACTATTTCGATTCTTTTACTATGTTTGGAACACTTTTCAGGATCGTAAGTATACTGAAGTGCAGATGCGGCTACAGTTTGATGCTGTGGATCACCATTTTCTTGTAAGAAAGATAGTTGGAAGGATAGTAGCATTCTGGCAAAATATCCCATGTTGCACTGCGTCCGATTTGTTGATATTCATTGCAGTCATACCGAGGACAGAGAAGGGCACCTGTCATGTTTCTTGAAGATGACAGGCTAAGTTTTATGTTTTTTTTGTTTACTGATAGACCATTTGGACATATCCTACTGAAACACCAGGGTTTTTTTTAAAATTTGATTGGGCGCCACTATGTAATCACAGGGCTAAGATGTTGCCTTCCTCACACAGGCTTCGGTTGGAGGCATTCTCACGCCTACACTGAGGAGGCCCAGGGATTCAGAACCGGTTGGCAACATGCCATAGTCACCACAGATCCAACGAAATGTTACTCTTTGATAGATAAATACACAATGGACGTTAATACTTGATAGCTTGTGCTGTTGCATTTGGATATGGCCAGTGAGAGTAAAAGACCACCGAGTACCAAGAGGCAAGTTCTACGTCGGAGTCGGACCTGTGTTGTCAGTGCCTCACACAGAAATTCTCTCAATTTCGAGCCGAAGGCATTCGAACAAAGTGTTGCAAAATCGAGAGAAAATTCCCCTGAAAAGAGAAGCCCTCAATCCACATGTCAGGCCCTGAAACATGCAGTCTCGGCCTTGACTCGACTTGATGACTTTGTGTCGGAAAAACTGGGATTTGGATTTTTCTCCGATGTATACAAAGTAAGTAGTCACAACATTGAGGTAGATTTTTACACCAACTATTTCCATAATCAGTCTTAACAACACTAATGCAACACATTTCAGCTGTTTATAGAATCCTTGGTTATTCTTTTTTTTCATGTTGAGATGTTTAATAGCTAATTGTCACTAGATCTAGTTAATGGCACTATTCTTTTGAGAGGGAAACAAATATGTACTCAAAATGTATATATGTATATATGTATATATATATATGTATACACACTGCCAAAAGAAAGAGAAGTATGTACATTTAGAAGAGATGTTTACAATGTGTACCACTTGATGACAAAAACTAACGATCAGTCAAGTGTTTCTACGGAGTGTCTTTATTCTAATCATGATATTCACATGTTTTCCAAACTTGACACGGTTATCCTGCCACTGCAAATGGTGCAATTTTGGGGGTGCATTCTAAAACAGCACTGATTTCTTCGACGAAAACAGCTACTAATTGTCGGGTGAAAATGGCACGTCTATTTTTAATAACATAAGAACGGTATGTAGTAAATCCTCCGTCTTCAATGTTTCATGGCATTTCAGGACATTGTGAATAATTGTGACAGCACCCTGTTAGGCCTCTTAAATACAGTTTCAGCTTGACATTGAGTTAATTTCAGTTAGCATGGTAAAGGTACTTTTAAAGCTTCAAAGAATCTGATGTTTTCAGAATAAGTTTTGTTGCGCCTCCAAATCAGAATGGAGGCTAATTTCTAATATAATGTTTTAAGGCGATTAACATTTCACAATTATTTTGTGTTTGCAAGTGACCATGTGAGTTTCAGTACTCAGGTTAAAAAAACAAGGTGCCATTTCCGCCAGGCAATAGTAGCCTTTTTCGCTTTAGGCAATGTGCCGTTTTGCTGAGGTGCTGTTTTTGCTGTAACCCCATCTTGTGTCATGTATCTATGACGTCTAATGTGATGAGTTTTTGAGCGTTGGTTCACACAACATAACGGGTGCAGGCTAAAACGGCACCGATTTCTCTGGCGAAAACGGCACCGCATTTGGCGAAAACGGCTACTATGTGTCGGGCGAAAACGGCACCTCTATTTTTAATAATGATAAGAACATTTTTGTAGTAATACATATGGTTTATTTACATGGTCACAGTTATCACAGCATGTTGTTGTTTTCTGACATTCTTCTCTCATGCAACACATCGAAAGGCCATTGTGAATAATTGTGATCTGACAGCACCATGTTAGGCCTCTTAAATACAGTTTCAGTTTAAATTGAGTAAAGGTACTTAAAACTTCAAAGCGTATATTGTTTTCACATTAAGTTAATTGCGCCTCCCAATCAGTCTGCGAGTAAATTGGAGTAGGGGTCTAATTTCTTACTTGTTTTATTTCACAATTTCACAATTATTTGTGTTTGTAAGAGACGACGTTAGTTTAATTTCTATTATTTTTCTTCAAAGCATCTCATGATTTCACAATAAGTTGTGTTGCGTATAAGCTAAGTTGGATTATAGTTGAAGTAGAGGCTAATTTCTAATGTAAACTTGTTTTAGCATCTCACAATTATTGGTGTTTGCAAGTTACCATATAAGGTCAATAGCACATATTTGACCAAGGTAAAAAAAATAACAATGTGCCGTTTTCGCCAGGCAATAGTAGCCGTTTTCGCCAATCGGTGCCGTTTTCGCCCAGTAACGTTTTGCTGAGGTGCCGTTTTCGCTATAACCCCAACATAACAGTATGTTTGTTTGTGCATCGAACCAATCTAATGCCTCTTGAATATGAGTAACTCTTCATAGATTAACCAACATGTATGCTATTCATGTTTCTTTTGTCGGTGAGTATATGTATCTAACTACATGATCTCCACAGAATGTACTTGTTGCTAATCTGGGATAAGAACGGTGATACAGTTGTGTATCCCATTCTGTCTACCGTGGGACATCTTTTGCAATAAATCAATGTAGGTCTTTAATGCAGGTTTAAGGGGGTTGTAAACTTGTACCTTTCTGTCACAAAACCAGCCAATGAATTATTGAATACACTGTCCTTCATCATTTCATGCGTACTCATGACTTGAACATCTGATGCCCGGAGCTGTTTTCTGTTTGCGTAAATCGGCTCACTCCTCACCTATCATTCTATATCTAATACTTATATTCACTGTTCATTACACTGTTAATGTCTTTGTCTCCCCACTTCTACAATCACTGTCACCTGCAGTCTTCAATAGACAGGCAAACTGGTGGAGGCTTCACATATTGAGATGGTTTCTTGACGAACAATTTTGTAATCCGTTATGCGCCTAGCTCTAACTGACAAATGAAGTTCTATTTTAAATCTACTGCATACACACTTTGCATATGACTTAAGGTGTGGTCTTTGTCTTGCTTCAGATAGTCTGTTTTGACCAAAAGTGGTCCATTTTACATGTGTCAAAAATGTGTCACCATATTCAGCACCCAGCACCTGTAACAGTGTAAGCACACCTTAACCAACTTCTAGTTCTAGAAGAAACAGGAAATATTCTTTATCAACTCTCAAATTACACATGACAACCCATTTTGTACACATCTTTTTCACATGAAACAGCTGAGTAGATGAAGGTGCATTAAAGGGGCACTGATCTAACGGAATTCCCTGGACTGGTTGTTGCCTTTGTTATTGTTTTTTCCCTGTGAGTACCCGGATGATACGCAACGCAACTGAGCGTGACCAGAGACTGGGCTACCGTCTGCAAGGACAGCTAAATAAACTTGGAGGCTGGAGGCAATATTTGTTTTACGCATTTTTGCATAAACACTGATTGGTTAACCGTGATCTATAAAGATTTCGACAAAGGGCGCATGTTAATTAATTTCTTCAACCTAAACAAACAGACAAAAAGAACGGCGGAGCTCATCGGATGTCGTCATTTGGAAATACCCCAGATGGTCATAGTTTAATACTAAAAAAGGTATCCATGCAGTGAATGCATTTTCGGATTTCGGATTGCGTCGATAATACGATATCTACTCCCTTGTTGTCATCCACGTTTTCTCGTATAACCCTACACTTGTGTATTTGTCGTCATTCACTTGATGCTCAGTTAATGAATTTATTACAGGTACAATTAGTGGTAGAACCACTTAGATTACCTGACAAAGGTTTCCATTTGGCATTTATTGTGTCTGGGGTAATTATTCAATCTAAATCCAGGTTTGAAGTGAGGTGAAATGTGTGTTATGTAATATGCACGTGGCAGACCAGCAAGAGGTGAATGAACAGTTGATTTCCTTTTTTTGTGTAAATCAATGGATCGTTCCTAGTCATCAAAGGATTAACAGAAAATACGTTGATTGATTAATCACTGTTATCTTGCACAGTGGATATGTCAAAAGTGAGTGTTTACATGTCTAGGTTTACTAAAACAAAGGGAATACACTCATATCATGGCGTGAAGTGCCGATGTAAAAACAACATACTTTGTTCAAAGGGTTAACTGATTATACGTTGATTGATTGATCATTGTTATCTATCACTCAATGGATTTTTTAGGAACTGTGGACGTTATGAAAATAGTTGTCACGTGGGCTTTCTCAGCTGACCCTTGAGACTTGACACCTATGTGAAACACCTGAAACAATCCAAGTGATCAGTTGAGAAACGAACACTGGTTAAAATATCCCAAAACGATATATAGCTTTTAAAATATGTGATTGTTACAGAGACACGTGACATCGAATAAGTTTCTTTGTACAGCTGCAGACGAGTGGGATATTGTTCCTTTGTGTGGATATTCATGGATACATTCCTCAAACAAGGAAGCTGCCTAAAATTTATACACATAAATTTGGTAGGTTGTAATTATGGTATTTGCATTTTGTTTTCCTTCATTTGCTGTAGCATTGAACCGATTCGTCCTTGTTCCTCTACGTCTTGGTTGGGAAATTCTTCAATGCGCGATAGACGTTGTTTTCACAGTCCTTTTCCTTTGTAAGCATGTATATATTACCTTCAATTTGTAAAATGTGATTCTCTCAGGCAATTTATAAAATGTGTAAATATTTCAGTCATTTTGACTAAAAAATCTGTCCAGATTGATTAAGACGATCAAAAGGGCCTACAAACATCACAACTGATTATTATGTAGGATTAGAAGCCAAACAACATAGAAATGTACTTTTCAACGTAACATTTTCAGTTTCTTGGTGATGACATTAAACATCAAAATTTTTGGAATTCGTTATCATAATAATACAGATGGAAATGTTTTTCAGTCACTTTGTAAAATAACTGAATATTTAGGCGTTTAATAAATTTGAAAATGTTACACATTTTGACAGTAAAAAAATATACACACTATATAAAAGCAATGCTCACTTGAAATATTTTCTTTGTATTGCAAGTCAAAATAGTGTAAACGAAAATCGCAAAATTACCAAGCAAGTGTTTTATCAAAACTTAGTCACCATTACCGATGCTACCCATAAAGATACCTACATTTCCTTATCATCTCAAAAACTGTATTTCATTTTGTTGATCAATGTGACCATACGCCCTTATTACTACCCATACAAGTGACTAATGCGCTTACGAATGGCGCAGCAGAGGTCGCGAACTAGTCTAGATTTCTGCTATACATCCGGGTACTCACTGGGAAAAAACAATAACAAAGGCAACAACCAGTCCCGGGGAATTGCGTTAGATCAGTGCCCCTTTAAAGTCACAGGATCCATGTTAAAAGTAAGGAAATAGGGGGTCCCTAGATTTGAATTGTATGGGAACAAACCTCAAGGGCCACCCCTATAAATTTGAACAATGGAGATAGAATACACTGGATAATCAAGGATGCACACAGCTTTTGAATTGGATACTAAAAAATCTATTTACAAGAAGGTATAAACTTCTGTATGTAGGTTATTTTTGTATCTGTATTTTTGTGGTACATGTCATGCTGCCTACCCTTTGTATCATTACGCTATCATGCTAGGTGATCGACAATAAACTAACACTGTACATTTGTCATAGAGCAGCCCA